TTTATCATGGATATATCCCTACAATACTCATATCACTGAACAGCCAAAGCTTCAGTAACGTCTGCGAATATTGCAGCCAATGTTACTAGTGCTTTTATTATACAGTTTGCGGCAATTATCGAGCGATAAAGATTCCTATTATAGCAAACGTCTTCCTTCAACATATATTACATCGAAAGACAACATCACGGTAGTCTGCACAAGGTCTACAAGTAATTTAATACCTGCAATTACAAATACAGGAACTTCTTAGTAGTTTCATTTGTTGTAGCCGCTTAATTGTCAAGTCTTCTTTAAAATTCTCCAGGAAGCGATCGTACTTGGCGCCGTGACCTTGAAATTCCTCAAACGCTTCTGATTGGCTCATTCATAAGTTATAGTCTCGTCGGTACATGAAAAAGCGTTATTCAGTTGACCGAACTGTCTTTCAAAATCTGTACAAATATAATATATATTATTATTTTATAAATCATATAATATCAACTCAAAAGTCTATAATATTTTTATAATAAAATGATCGGATAAGAAAGACCTCTATGAATACTGAGCGTAGTTTAGAAGTAACAATCAAATTGTATTCAACATAATACAAGTATAACATTGTAAATACAAATCTTTGGTGATAATATGAACATAGTGTTCCCAAATTTAAATACTTATTCGTTTCAAATCTTTTATAATGAATTTACTGCCATATCGTCTATACTGGTCGAAAATTAGTGAAATATATCATGCATGAGATGAAATGATGATCCTCAGTAGCGATTTAAGAGAACAGTACAAATTTTAAACTTACTCGCTCACTTACTTACGCGTGTTACCCCTCGTCGAGAAGCATAGACCGCCCACCAGCATTCTCAATCCAACTCTCTCCCAGACAATCCTTTCTCGTTCTTTCCAGTTGCTATTCATTATTTTGATGTCTGCTTCCGATCTCCGACGTAATGTGTACCTTGGTCTTCCTTTTTCCGTTTTGCAGGATCATCCCAACATCCACAATTCATGTCCCACCAACCACTTCCATCGTCTTTTCATAATTTTCTCCTCAACTGGAACCTGCTTTCTCCTCTCCTACAGTACGCTGTTGCTGATGTCATCCGATCAACGGCTATTAAATATCTTGCGTGCACAACTGTTTATAAATTGTTATAAAGATAGGATACTTGTTATAACGCTAGGATTTCTTGTCATAACAGTTCTTTCATTTTTTCACGTATGTGGGATGCTTATTTGTTTTAGACGAATATCTACACTAGATTCCCTCCAAGTGTCTATTCTACAGGACTTCAACACAACTCGGATCAAGATGATTGTTGTAATTAATATCGAAGTTTCATATCCATACGATAGAACTAATTGTTTTGACGTTCGTATTACAGATTATCACTTCGATATTAGTTGACAGTTGTTTTGACCTCTATGTGTTCATCAATTGTAGGAATGCTGTCATTACTTGACAATCCTTGCCTTTATATCTGCATCAGATTTCACTTATTTATCAATTATACTCCCCAATTATCTAAGACTTTCTACCTCTTCCAGAGCTTGTCCATCAAATGTGATTGAACTGTTTTCCGTGTTGCATTTGAGGATGTTGCTTCTTCCTCAGTGTATGTTGAGGTCTACTGATGCAGAGACTGGTGCTACACTGTTTGTCTTGACCTACATTTGTTGACGTGTATATTATAGAAGAGGTCGGTCATCTAAGAAGTCCGATTAGTGTAGCTACATTCAACCTGTCCATTTTATTCTGCGCTTCCCCTCAAATGTGGAAGTCTTCATTATATATATATATATATATATATATATATATATATATATATATATATATATATATATATATATATATATATATATATATATATATATATATATATATATATATATAGGATGCGTGTTTCATCCAATTAAGGACTCGTCAGCTAAATGTCCCTTCACCTAAAAGTTGATGTTCATCTAGGGATTCAGAAACATTACGTTCAGCCCCTAACGCCAATAAGTTATTCACTTGTCAGGAACATTCAGACATTGTGTATTAAATAGGGTCAAAATCGCATTCTGCACTCCATTCCTAGTCATATTCAATCTACTATGTATACCATAATATGTCATAACAGAATAACATTGGTTCACTTGTTTTGAAAACCCTTTCACCTTTATAAACTGAAATATTTCAATCTATTGTTTATCATTACATTATTTGTTTTAAATTAAGGCTGTTAGCAGATAAGGAGAGACTATGGTCTGATCTATACTCATCTAGTTTATTTGATTTTATGTTACAAGTATTACTTACTTACTTACTTATTTACTTATTCCTGTTACCCCTTGTGGAGGAGCATAAGCCGCACACCATTATTCTCCATCCAACCACGTTCTGGGAGATCCTTTTCAGTTCATTTCAGTTTTTTATTACATGTATTATATAACTATAATATATCATTTTTAAACAATTCTGTCTTTCAAACTCCTAGTTTTTCTTATAAAATATTCAAATATATAACCTATAAACATTCACATTATTTAACATATAGACATCTTTCAAAGTTGAAATCATGAGTCAATTGAAGCTAGACCACCATCGAAAACCTGGAAACACTGGACGGCCGTTTCGTTCTTTTATAAGACTCCTTAGCAGTGCGCATCCACGATCCCGCACTAGCGGGATTCGAAACCAGGACCTACCAGTCTCAAGCCAGAGCCTTTAAGCGATAGACCCTTGAGTCGGCCGGCATCCAACGTTGTTGATATCTAAATTTAACCAATCCAAGAAATGTTGAGTTACTATTCACCAATGGTCTTCAATGAGTTATCTCAACAGACGTGGTTGAACTCCACTGGTCACTGCTTCCCACTAGACATCTCTCATAATTCTTTCATACTGATTACTCTTTCTTTTTCTATTAATCTTTGTTGATGAGAACTATATCAATATGATGACACGAAATATATACACCGCTTTTTACACTAATAATACTACTAACTCTCAGTTATAAGTAGCTAGCGAAAAACCATAGAAATAAAACTAATTCATGTTATACATGTTATACATTCTTTGTTTAACTAAAATGAAATTATATCAGGAGGGGTTTTGTGGATATCATAGTAATTTCAATAGTGAGCCAATTCAAGCTAGATCACCATGAAAAACCTGGAAGCACTGGACGGCCGTTTCATCCTATTGTGAGACTCCTCAGCATGAATTAACTATATATCTTTTAAATTTTATTATTACTCAATTCATAGTTACGAAACAAATCAGATAATATGAAATTCTGGACCATTTTATTCATTTTACAGCCTACAATCGTAAAACCTATCAATTTTTCTATGACATTATTTTGTTCAGTAAAACAAATATTCTAACAAAAAGAACCTTATTGTAAACCTTTTCATTCTAGATTACATTTTGATCAGATGAAGTTACTGATGTTAACAGAGTAATGTGAAGCCGTGACAAACTACGGAAGCTAGTTTGTGGAACGTTATTTCATTTAGTTCAATGCTTGTAAAACTGTAAAATATAATTTTGCCCCTAGTTCATTCTACAGATCATAAGCTTTGGTTTGATGTATGATTCACTACCATTGCATTTTCTGTTCCAAAGTTATTGTAATTTAGACGTAATCTTTTGTACTCTATTTTCTGCTCTAATTCCCCAGTTTTGGACATAATTGTATTTTCCTGATTGTTGTACGTTGTGTTCGGGTCAGTTATCTATTTATTCATATATCTTTTTACACTAATCGGAAACCAGATCGGATTTGAGAATAAGTCAAGTAGTGTTTCATCTGACTTGTCCTCTCTCTAGCATGTGACTAATCAGCCAATCAGGTGATAAAATACGTTTCGTCACTCTACACCACTTCAAACTCACTAATGCCAGCCACAAGATTAAGCCAGTCAGCCCATCGCTTCAAGGTCTTAATCTACAATAGACAAGTTATCCTCGGCACGAAAGTGGGTAGACAGATCAATGACCGAACAGTTACTTATTACATACCTGTATGTCACTGTAATATTCAATTGCTTTTTTCTTAAATGATCAAAACGTTCTAATAATTCGATTCATTTTACATCATCAAATTTTACTATTTCACAATTCACTGTAAAAATAATCCGTCCATATCACGAGTTTATGTATTATTTAAGCATATATACTTTGTCAATGTAAAGCGTTTACATTTGAAAACACATTTTCCAATATATGTTCGAGATGATAATGACGATGCATGGGTTGTCTTTGTGCAAGGGTTAAGGTAATTTACTGTTTCAAATATCTGTTGAAGTAGAGCCTTGACACTATATACAATTTATTGTTTGAATTGACACTGAAACATCTCTACAATTGCTGAACTAACTGTTAGCTGATAGAAAACAGTTTATCTTAGTCTATCATGAATACTGAAAGTGTAACCAAAAGAAATTATAGTTTAAGTTTTCATTTAATATGATAGGGCTGTAATGATTCAAAGATTTGAACTATATATCCTTTATATTGGATAGTTTAACAAGATCTCTGTATTTATTCTTTAAAACTACATCACTAATAACTTGTTTCATGTATTGTATTAATTACCAACAAACTATTATTTACTTACCTACCTACCTACCTACTTACTTACCTACATATCTACTTACTTACTTGCCTACCTACCTACTTACCTACATATCTACTTACTTATCTACCTACTTACTTATCTACCTACTTGCTTACCTACCTACCTTCCTACCTACCTACCTACCTACCTACCTACTTACTTACTTACATACATAGTTACTTACTTACCTACATATTTACTTACTTATCTACGAATTTACGCCTGTTACCCCTCGTCGAGGAGCATAGGCCGCTCACCAACACTCCTCATACATACAATAAATCAAGTGCTGATCAAGGTCCAGATTACAAAAAAAAACAATCAACAGATTATTTCGAAACTATTCATGTATTCATTTAATTAAATATACTTTGCTGATAAAAAATTTTGGCATACATCTTAATAAATACTAATTTTAAGTTTTTTCTTTGGTTGACATTTTACTAGATGACATATTCCACTGCAACATTCTGAATTACTTAAACAAGCCCAATCCACATCTAAACATTCAACACATGTTCCATTTGCAAATCCATGTAGTTTACATACTGATTTCTTACAACATGGATAAAATATTGATCGATCACAATAACCACCTAATGGTGAACAACGTTTTCTTTCAGCTAAAAGAAGAAGAAAAAATAAAATAAAGTAACCATAAAACTGATATGGTTCACATGGATAAGTCTTGGAAGCTCTAGATCGATTTACCACGTTGATCCCGAAGCGATTTATGAATGGTAACTTTTAGCATTCCTGAGTTATCATCAGTCTATTAACTACTGTTTCCCCCATTCACAGCCACATTTGGCTAAATCTTGTACACATGTTATTTTCTATTTTATGGTACGATGTGGTTTATTTGATTGGTATATAAACCCAATATGTCTGAGAATTAATGATTCATATTGCAGAGACTGTTAAGTCCAGAACAACAATAAAAACAACGAGTTAATGTGGGAGACAGCAAACCAGATTCCAGCGGAGGGTGAAATCAGGAAGAAGCACTGGAAGTGGATTGGGCACACTTTGAGGAAATAACCCAATTGCGTCACAAGTCAAGCCCTCACATGGAATCCTGAAGGCCAAAGGAGAAGATGAAGACTAAAGAACATATTACGCCGAGAAATAGAGACAGATATGAGAAAAATGAACAAAAAATGGATAGAACTAGAGAAGAAGGCCCATGACAGAGTGAGTCGGAGAATGCTGGTCGGCGGCTTAAGCTCCACTGGGAGTAACAGGCGTAAGTGAAAAGTAAGTATGTAAGCAACTTTAGGACTGTTTATGGACCACTGTGATATGTATATTTCTTGTTATATAATTGCTAAAGAACTTGACTATTCATATGCGTTTCCCTCTTATTATAAGCTTTATTTTGACCCATAGACTGTTACTTTATGATTTACCATTCTTGAGTTATCATCAGTCTATTAACTACTGTTTCCCCCATTCACAGCCACATTTGGCTAAATCTTGTACACATGTTATTTTCTATTTTATGGTACGATGTGGTTTATTTGATTGGTATATAAACCCAATATGTCTGAGAATTAATGATTCATATTGCAGAGACTGTTAAGTCCAGAACAACAATAAAAACAACGAGTTAATGTGGGAGACAGCAAACCAGATTCCAGCGGAGGGTGAAATCAGGAAGAAGCACTGGAAGTGGATTGGGCACACTTTGAGGAAATAACCCAATTGCGTCACAAGTCAAGCCCTCACATGGAATCCTGAAGGCCAAAGGAGAAGATGAAGACTAAAGAACATATTACGCCGAGAAATAGAGACAGATATGAGAAAAATGAACAAAAAATGGATAGAACTAGAGAAGAAGGCCCATGACAGAGTGAGTCGGAGAATGCTGGTCGGCGGCTTAAGCTCCACTGGGAGTAACAGGCGTAAGTGAAAAGTAAGTATGTAAGCAACTTTAGGACTGTTTATGGACCACTGTGATATGTATATTTCTTGTTATATAATTGCTAAAGAACTTGACTATTCATATGCGTTTCCCTCTTATTATAAGCTTTATTTTGACCCATAGACTGTTACTTTATGATTTACCATTCTTGAGTTATCATCAGTCTATTAAATACTGTTCCCCCCATTCACAGCCACATTTGGCTAAATCTTGTACACATGTTATTTTCTATTTTATGGTACGATGTGGTTTATTTGATTGGTATATAAACCCAATATGTCTGAGAATTAATGACTCATATTGCAGAGACTGTTATTGGTGTTCTGGACTCAACTGGCTAGTCTAGGCTAGGCAGAAAGCAGGACCGATACGTACTCAAGACTTCTGGTACGGCATTTGTGTATCATTGCTTTGATCGATAATTCATTGCTTTCTAATTGGAGGTATCGTCACGTTATATATTAAAATGATACTCAGGCACACAATTTACAACAATTGGGATGGGGTTTCTGAAGTCTATCGAATAATTTATAGCAATTCAATTTTCTAATAGTTAGGCGTTCACTAAGAACGCCGTAGGTTTGATTCTTGATGATGGAATTCTACACATATTATAACATATTGAATAGATATTATATTAATGAATAAAAGAAAAATGATAAACATACCAATTTCAGGTAAAGCTTCAATATGAATGAAAATGAAAAGCCAAAGGCAAATGAATCGCATATATTTAAACATTATAATGTTCACTATTATCTAATTTCAAAGGATCTATGAATAAAATACAACTTTATGTAAGTATTTATATATGAATACTTGTCAAATAAAGAAGATTTGAATACAGATCTGGATCAAGATGAAGGATCATAAACTGTATAAGTTCATATCGTTACAATATCAGCTGAATAGTCACAAGATGGTGTAATCTAATTATTATTTAAGATTATTTTTTAATGAACCATATAAAATGTGGATTCTTATATACCTAGTAAGTTCCTTAATTCAATTCTTATTTTTATATAGAAATGTCTAGAAAATGGTTTTTCATTCGAATATCCATTAATCATATGATTATTTAATATTAAGAGAATTAATTGGGAAGTCTATTTCATTGTCCTAATTGAAGATACATTTTTTAAAAATTAAATAGATACGATACATTATCACAAAGACAATATTATCAGAAGGGTGTTTTTGTGGAGATGCTCACTGCTGAGGAATCCCACAATAGGAGGAGACGGCCGTTCAGTGCTTCCATGTTTTTCATGAAGGTCTAGCTTCAATTGACTTACGCTTTCAACTATGAAAAAGACAATAGGTAATAATGTTCTAAAAGAATAAGTGTTAATTATTTGGGATGACCAGATCAAAATGTGATAGAAATTCATGAAATCACTGTCAAGTAGACTGAATCATGTTGGTAACGTAGAGACTATTTGGTTGGGATCCGCGATACTACAGCAATCGATGGTTAGAGACTTTGAATGACATGGCTCAAAATCGTTTACAATGGAGAAGGTGCATCGATTCTTTGTTTTTTACCAATTTGTACTCTTCTGAATTTTTCATGTCTCTATCTTTTTTCTGTTTCCACATTTATTTCACTGGATTATACTCATTCAATAATATCTTCAAATCCTAATCTTTCGGATTAATGCTTATACTCTTAATACTTCTACTACTATGGGATTTGAATCGACAACTGCATCTCAGTGCTATTGTGGTACGAACGAAGTCCTACGTTGTGACTGACTGACTAAAGTGTTGACTATTTAATGATGTGCTGAATCTATTGAAACGTAAAACTTATATGGACTTTAAACGTGATAAAAGATATTTGGGAATGAAATATTCGATTGAATTAACCAACTACCAAGTGAACATCAATATATATTTGTAGATAAAGGTATAAAAAAAAGTTTCTGTAAGTTAATGGTCTGTTACTTCAATTTTAATATAAGATTACATCTAATCAGTTCTTTAATCCACTACTTACTACTCAGAAAGTTCCTTTACGGTCATTCTTTTCATTTAGTCTAGAAAATAGTAAGCTTTAATATACAAATAGGCAGAATTTTTGTGAATTAATAACTTTACGAAATCGAGCAACGGTCAATCAATGAGTTAATATCTCACAACAGACCTGGTTGTACTCCTTTGGTCACTGGATTCGCGTGCGAGAGTGATAGATCCTGGGTTCGAATCTCGCGAGGTGGGTTCGTGGATGCACACTGCTGAGGAGTCTCAGAATTGGACGCAACGACCATCCAGTGCTTCCAGGTTTTCCATGGTGGTCTAGCTTCAACTAACTCATGATCTCAACTATTGAAAATACTTATTCGTTTCAAATCTTTGATTATCAATTTACTGCTATATTGTCTAATTGCTTCTTTCGCGTGTATACTGGTCGAGAATTAGTAAAATATATCATACATGAGAAGAAATTATGATCAGTGGTAGCGATTTAAGAGATCAGTACAAATTTTGAACTTACTCGCTTACTTTCTTACTCATATTACCCCTCGTTGAGAAGCATAGACCGCCCACCAGCATTCTCAATCCACCTCTATCCTAGAAAATCTTTTCCAGTTCTTTCCATTCATTCCTTTGATATGTACCTTGGTCCTCCTCATTCCATTTTCCCTGTTGGATTCCAAGTCAGCGCTCGGCTCGTGATGCTGTTTGATGATTTCCTCAATATGTATACTATCCACTTTCAACGCCCTTCCATAATTTCCTCCTTGACGGTATCCGGTCAACGGTCATTGAGTATCTTGTGTAGACAATTGTTTATAAATATTTGTACCTCATTTATAATGGTTTTGGTAGTTCTCCACGTTTCAGCTCCATACATTCTAGCTAACTGTCATGACGATCGTATTGAAAATCGTAACTTTGATGTTGGTTTGCAGACAGTTGTTTTGAGTCCCATATGTTCTTCAACTGAAGGAGTGCTGTTCTTGCTTGCCAATCTTAACCTTGACATCTACATCAGATTCCACTTATTTATCAATTATACAACCCAGTTTTCTAAAACTTTCTACCTCTTCCAGAGCTTGTCCATCAAATGTGATTGGATTGTTTACAGTGTTGCATTTGAGGATGTTGCTTCTTCCTCAGTGTATGTTGAGGTCTACTGATGCAGAGACTGGCGCTACATTGTTTGTCTTGACCTGTATTTGTTGATGTATATGGGATAGAAGAGGTCGGTCGTCTATGTAGTACGATTAGTGTAGGTACATCCAACCTGTCCATTTTATTCCGCACTTCCCGTCGGATGTGGAAGTCTTCATGATCCACTTACTCACTTACTTACGCCTGTTACCCCTCGTCGAGGAGCATAGGCCGCTCACCATCATTCTCCATCCAACTCTGTCCTAAGCCTTCCTTTCCAGTTGCTATTAATCCTATTCATATCTGCTTCTATTTCCCGGCGTAGTGTGTTCTTTGGCCTTCCTCTTTTCCGCTTCCCTTCCGGATTCTAAGTCTTCATGATGCAGACATATATATATATATATATATATATATATATATATATATATATATATAATATGGGACTATTATAGGACTGCTCAGCAGAGCGCATCCACGATCCCGTACTCGCGAGATTTGAACCCAGGACCTACCAGTCTCGAGCCAGAGCCTTTAAGCGATAGATCCTTGAGCCGACCGGCATCCAACGGTGTTAATGTCTAACTTCAATGAATCCAAGAAATTTTGAATGACCATTCACCAATTGTCTTCAGTGAGTTATCTCAACAGACGTGGTTGAACTCCACTGGTCACTGCTTCCCACTAGACATCTCTCATAATTCTTTCATACTGATTACTCTTTCTTTTTCTATTAATCTTTGTTGATGGGAACTATATCAATATGATGACACGAAATATATACACCGCTTTTTACACTAATAATACTACTAACTCTCAGTTATAAGTAGCTAGCGAAAAACCATAGAAATAAAACTAATTCATGTTATACATGTTACATTCTTTGTTTAACTAAAATGAAATTATATCAGGAGGGGTTTTGTGGATATCATAGTAATTTCAATAGTGAGCCAATTCAAGCTAGATCACCATGAAAAACCTGGAAGCACTGGACGGCCGTTTCATCTTATTGTGAGACTCCTCAGCATGAATTAACTATATATCTTTTAAATTTTATTATTACTCAATTCATAGTTACGAAAGAAATCAGATAATGTTGTCTACATAATGGACATACTAATTGCTTACATTGTTGGTGTGGTGACTGTTATGGGAATTTAAATTTTGAACTACTGGATTTTATATTCAGTTAATGGAAATATACGGAAAGTGACTCAACTTTTTGATAGTTTAAACCTCATCTGATAGAGTTCAACTGTAATTACTGAAATCAATGCTAAATTTAGAACTGAGTTTAAATGTTAATTAGTTTTTTCTGGTTAGCGTTTTTTAGCGAGTTGGTTATCTACGGGGTGGGGTTGCTAATCCCACAACAAACCCTCCTCTTTTATCTAAGCTTGGAACGGGTAGTCACCCTAAAAGAGCTACAGGCGGAGTTGTTAATTGGTTTACTGCATCTAAATCAGAAATACTTGCTGCTTTCTTTTTATCCGAGTAAACATGCTACCAACAACAAATAAGTAGCTCAGTTATACTCATTCATTTTTTATGACGACTGGCATTACATAGTTGTGGTTCATAGAACATTTTATCTATTTTTACTCCCATTTTGGTGTATTGATTTGTTCTGCCTATTATGACAGCATTATCTTGCCTTCTATGTTATATTCTTTTATATATGATAAATTTTTAGTCTGTTTATTTTGACAGAGTTGTTTGATTTCATTGGTCCCCACTTTGATTTGTGGTACAGACGTTTAGTGATTTTTAATTCACGTTGAATTCTGTAGCTTCAAACCCATTAATCTGCTTAAAGAATGAAATTTCAGTCCGAAGATGTAGTATGCGTGATCCCTTCTATCTAATTTTGCTTATTAATCCCCCCAGTTTATGCGAAAGGACAGAAATCCATTTATGATAACCACAGTGGGACCAGATTAACTAAACTAGCATCTAAGATACTGACGTCTGTGTCGAGACCAAAAATCATGGACGAACCAATCAGATCTTTAGATAGCAGGTATTGAATTTTTGCATGAAATGCAATCATCTATATGGCTAGATAGTATTTTGTCGTTAGAGCTGATGTCAGTTTGTGATGAAAACGGTAATCCTAATTCCTCGTACTAGTTTATAACCCTCATTTGACCCTTATGAAGATGTGGATATTCTCAAGGTCATTTTAACATCGCTCAAAAATTTGGGAGAAACCTAGGGGTGGTCTCACCAAAATATGTTATCAGTTCGTAAAATTATTGATTGTTAGTCTGAACCGTGTTGGTAGATACAGGTGTTAGGTGACAAGATTCAGAATCGATCACAGTGCCACAGCTGCATTCAATAATTATTCTATTCTAGATCTGTACACTGTCTTTTAGAACCATATCCTAAATGTTTATTCATTCTCAATATTATCCTCACTACATTATTTCGACTTTATAGTTATTGAACTACTTGTTAGCTTTATCTCCTTGTGCTAATATCATATGACAACTCGAATTGACGTACATTCTTTCTCTCAGTCTCTACGTTGATTCACACTTACTGGCTTACTGATCACATGATTAGTGATTTACCTTAGGCTAATTAGAATATATCTCATATCATTGAATTGAATTCTTCATAAGAATTCTTATATCATACCATCAGTTTCAAAAAACACCGCTCATGTTGAGAGATAATAAGAGAAAGACAGTTTTTTTCTTATATGAATTTCTATTTACTTATATCTTGAATAAGTAGTTTGTTTTTTTCTCTCTAATTTGATTCGTATACATTATATTACAATAAAATAATAAGTATTAAGCTAAAATAAAAAATAATATCATGCAAAAGAAAACAATAAATTACTCTAATTATCTTGCATAGTAACAAGAATAGTAATAATAATAGTAAGCATATTATACATACATAATATGCGAATAATTATGAGTAACTATGCGGTTTTCTTTTTAGACAAGAAAAGAAAATAATCAATGAAAGAGAAGTTTTCAAACAGTTTCTCTTTTTTTATCAATCTAGCAGTTATGTATATAGATCTAAGAATTCACTTGAACTTGAAATGATGATCCTTTTTGAACTCATTATAGGATCCATTTTCAATCTATTATTCATATGATAAATACTTTACTGTTATTTTCAAATAATTAAACAATAATAAGGAAGGATCAGGACAGAGGGGGGGTTGGAGAATGTTGGTCGGTAGCCTATGCTCCATTGGCAAGAGAGGGGATGACAGGCATAAGTAACCAAGTAAGTAAGTAAGTCATAATAAGGAAGGATCAGGACAGAGGGGGGTTGGAGAATGTTGGTCGGTAGCCTATTCTCCATTGGCGAAGGGGGTGGGTGGTAACAGGCGTAAGTAACCAAATAAGTAAGTAATTAATTTGTTTGTTTAAATAAATCAATTTCAATATCTTGATTGATTTTTTTTTGTTTTTCAAAAAAGGCACTTTTATTAATTTCATTATTGATTAATTCTTCATTACGATGAAATTTATCATATTCATCTTTACGTTTTAAAACTTTTTCACGTCTCATATGTTCTTTATAAAAATCAGCAAAATTATTGACAATAATTGGTATTGGTAATGCTACTACTAATACACCACATATACAACAACATGCACCAATTAATTTACCTAATATTGTTCTTGGTAACATATCACCATAACCAACTGTTGTCATAGTGATAGTAGCCCACCAAAATGCTGATGGTATACTACGAAACATTTCAGAATTTTCATCTTTTTCAGCAAAATATACTAAACTAGAAAATAATACAACACCTAATGCAATTAATAACATAAGTAAACCAAGTTCTTTATATGAACGTTTAAATGTATAACCAAGGGCTTGTAAACCAGTTGAATGTCTAGCAAGTTTAAATATACGTAGAATACGTAGAATACGAAAGATTTGTACAATTTTTCTTAAAGAATGTAATGATTCATTATGATGCCTTGTGACAACTTCTACCAGTAATACATGTATATAAAAAGGTAATATAGCAATTAAATCAATAATATTGAGAATACGTTTGAGGAACTTTAACTTATTCGGTGAACACCATAAACGTAGTACATATTCTAATGTAAACCATGAAATACATATGGTTTCAACAATATCTAAATATGGATTATCAGTTAATTCATTCGGTGAGTGATGTGTGGTATTAGTAGTAGTAGTAGTAGTATTAGTATTGGTAGTATTATGATCTGTATCACTATGTAGCTCTGTCTCAATATATTTGATCATTGTAGTGTTAAGTTGTATTTCAGGCATTGTATTCAATGTTAAACTGATTGTAGATAATAGGATAAATATGATTGAAACAATTGCAAATACCTGAGTGGAATGAAATAGATAAGAAAAAAACAGTAAAGAAAAAAAAATTAGTAGTTTGATGAATACAAAAAAAAAGTAATTGGATTTAATGGTATACAACACGAACTGAACTTAGTTGGACAACCAATAAAAACTAGTAAGCAGTGGATAGCTCTTTGATCCTAGTATGAGAATTCTTAACAGTGTGCACCTGAAAGAACTTCGGAGATAGAACTCAGAACCTTTAGGTATCAAACTAAGCTCTCACTAATGATCAATTCTGAGAGAACTCCTGGAGTCCTAGTTAGAAAATTTGACAAGAAATGTTCAAACATGTTGTATATGAGTGAATTACCCGTTATTGACATTGGACATTCATTGTACAGTTATGCGAATTGAATAAAGTTAAACATATAAATCATTGTTTCATTCTAAAATGACTGAATGTAATAGAGTTAAAAGAGGGCACTATGTTAGTTATTCTTTTATTAAAAAATATACCGAATGTTTGGCTATTATCTCAGATACAAATACTATTTTCCAACCTATTATATATGTATATGTATATCTGTTACTTAGCAAACATCATGAGATATGTAACTGTTTAATCCCGACAATGTCTTAATTTATGACTTTTAAAAATTACTTTAAAAAATATTCCTTATATATAGTTAAAATCATGAGTCAATTGAAGTTAGACAACCATGGAAAACCTGGGAGCACTGAACGGCCGTTTTGTCCTATTATGGGACTCCTCAGCAGTGCGCATCCATGATCCAACCTCACGGGATTCGAACCCAGGATCTATCAGTCTCACGCGCTAATACTTAACTTCTAGACCCTCGAGCTGGCCGACATCCAACGGTGTTAATGTCTAACTTCAACCAATCCACGAAGTTTTAGAAACCATTCACCAATGTCTTCAGTGAGTAGATATCTCTCAACAGACTTGGTTGAACTCCACCCCCTTAAAAGATATTCGTTTGATAATTTATCACCTTAACACATATCTCCAGCTCAGTTTAAAGGTGAATGTTATCTGACCATGGCTTGTAATTTCGTTGTTCATTAGATAAACAAATGATATATCTCTACCCTTCAAACAAACAACGCTCTTTTAAGGCATAAAACTTACATAATCTAGCATCTAAGTCGTTATTATTTAACTATTCAGTCAAATAAATTAATCTTTTTGTATTTGTAAACATATAAACACATATCAAATTAGTAGCATTTGAACAGTACTATGGATTCAGTGATGTAAAGTTGGTTGTCGTTCTATGATCAACTGTAATGAAAATACAAAGTCATTCAGTAATTATGTAATCTCTATTTTTAGATTTCAATTAGTAGGAATCTGTTTTTTTTTCATTTTTACAATTTCTTCTGACAGAATTTTTCTAACTGAAAAATTCTATAAGCGAAGATGGATAGTGGCTAGCAGTGGAATCCAGTTTGACGCACGTTCCGTCCTATTTGGGACTCGTCAGATAGATGTACCTGCATCTCAGAGTTTATGTTCACTCTAGGACTCGAACCCAGTATCTTTCGCTTCAAACGTCATAGTGTTATCCACTCAGCTACTGAGTACTAATAGCCACTTGCTTGTACAATCGTTTGCTTGAATCTTCCCATTGATGTTTAGGATTGCAACTGGCCAGTCTCTAATTGGCATATGTGAATACTGTACGTATTGCTTCGATATTATGTATAATACTTGTTAATTAAGGCTATATCTAGGCAATAAGCACAGTATGCACATATGCCAATAAGAGACTGACCAGTTGCAATCCTTAACATCAATGGTAAGATTCAAACAAACAATACTAAGTGAATGTGAAAAATTTTATTCAATGAAAAATATCAAATTGAGAAGCAACTTGATCTACTAATACGAATTTTGATCGGATCTATATAATCGACTATTTGAGGAGATATCACTTTTTGACAGTCATTATTCAGCTTAAAAACGGTTGACTTTTGAAAACTTTCTGATAGATTCATATTAGCTTGCCTTCTCGAGGTTCTGTAAAATAAACCTCATATTTAATATATTCTTGGACCCTTGTAAAGGGTTTGTAATTTCTACATTACTGTAATTTCTATCTGAACTTAATCACCCAATGGAAAACACACTGATGTTGGGAACAAAAGTAACCAGGTTGGATTTTCATTGTGAACATCAACAATAGAATGTAAGTATAACCCATTAATGATGAAATATATGTTCCAGATTTCACTGCTCATCACTATCGAATTTCATTATTATTGATTAGATTATTCCTTTTGTTTATTAGGATTATTAGCTAAGTTACAAGAGTAAATTTTATCATAGAGATCAATTAGGAACATCAGGACAAATGAATAGTATCAATTCAACTATATAAATGAAGACTATTTAACATAAATGTTAATGAGATAATACAAAGTGAATAAAACATACCCTTTTAAAACAATGAAACTAATGTTGAGAAAATTAGAAATACATTTTATATGAACAGAGATGGGTAAACTGTGGTAAAACTAGATTTATGCTAATAAGTAAAAACTAAGAAACTGTATTTGAATTCACTTTGTGTTGTTTACTTATATCTTCCTATTGTTATTTAGGACTGCAATTGATCGGTCTCTTGTTGGAATATGTGCACCCTGTACGGACGGCCTCGATATTGCCTGAAGTCGCAAGTTTTATGAGCGAAGATGGATAGTGGCTAGCAGTGGAATCCAGTTTGACGCACGTTCCGTCCTATTTGGGACTCGTCAGATAGATGTACCTGCATCTCAGAGTTTATGTTCACTCTAGGACTCGAACCCAGTATCTTTCGCTTCAAACGTCATAGTGTTATCCACTCAGCTACTGAGTACTAATAGCCACTTGCTTGTACAATCGTTTGCTTGAATCTTCCCATTGATGTTTAGGATTGCAACTGGCCAGTCTCTAATTGGCATATGTGAATACTGTACGTATTGCTTCGATATTATGTATAATACTTGTTAATTAAGGCTATATCTAGGCAATAAGCACAGTATGCACATATGCCAATAAGAGACTGACCAGTTGCAATCCTTAACATCAATGGTAAGATTCAAACAAACAATACTAAGTGAATGTGAAAAATTTTATTCAATGAAAAATATCAAATTGAGAAGCAACTTGATCTACTAATACGAATTTTGATCGGATCTATATAATCGACTATTTGAGGAGATATCACTTTTTGACAGTCATTATTCAGCTTAAAAACGGTTGACTTTTGAAAACTTTCTGATAGATTCATATTAGCTTGCCTTCTCGAGGTTCTGTAAAATAAACCTCATATTTAATATATTCTTGGACCCTTGTAAAGGGTTTGTAATTTCTACATTACTGTAATTTCTATCTGAACTTAATCACCCAATGGAAAACACACTGATGTTGGGAACAAAAGTAACCAGGTTGGATTTTCATTGTGAACATCAACAATAGAATGTAAGTATAACCCATTAATGATGAAATATATGTTCCAGATTTCACTGCTCATCACTATCGAATTTCATTATTATTGATTAGATTATTCCTTTTGTTTATTAGGATTATTAGCTAAGTTACAAGAGTAAATTTTATCATAGAGATCAATTAGGAACATCAGGACAAATGAATAGTATCAATTCAACTATATAAATGAAGACTATTTAACATAAATGTTAATGAGATAATACAAAGTGAATAAAACATACCCTTTTAAAACAATGAAACTAATGTTGAGAAAATTAGAAATACATTTTATATGAACAGAGATGGGTAAACTGTGGTAAAACTAGATTTATGCTAATAAGTAAAAACTAAGAAACTGTATTTGAATTCACTTTGTGTTGTTTACTTATATCTTCCTATTGTTATTTAGGACTGCAATTGATCGGTCTCTTGTTGGAATATGTGCACCCTGTACGGACGGCCTCGATATTGCCTGAAGTCGCAAGTTTTATGAGCGAAGATTGATAGTGGCTAGCAGTGGAATCCAGTTTGACGTGTGTTTCGTCCTATTTTTGGACTCGTCAGCTGGATGTACATGCAACTCAGAGTTGGAGTTCACTCTGGGACTCGAACCCAGTACCGTCCGCTTCGAAAGCCACAGCATTATGCACTTGGCTATTGAGTCCTGATAGCCACCTGCTTGTGCAATGGGGTGAAGTTTAAATTCACTTGGTGTTGTTTATTTACATCTTCCCAATGTTATTTAGGACTGCAATAATCAGTCTCTTGTTGGCACTATTGATTTTCATTTGTAACTAACTAATCATTGATATACATTGTTTATGATAGATCTACATAAAAGCCATTCATTCGTTTATTACTATTGTGACTCTTCAGCAGTGCGCATCTACGATCCTGCCTCATGAGATTCGAACCTAGGATCTATCAGTCTCCCACGCGAGCGCTTAAACTCTAGACCACTGGGCCGGTCGGCATCCAACGATGTTAATGTCTAACTTCAACCAATCCACGAAATTGAACAACCATTTCACCAATGTCTTCAGTGAGTTACTATCTCACAACAGACTTGGTTGAACTCCACTAATCACTGCTTCTCACTAGAACTCCAAGAAACACCTCTGGAAGCCAGTCACTATTGAGCATATGATCATTATCAGAAGGGAGTTTTGTGGAGATCTTAGTAATCTTATATGGTTGAAATCATGAGTCAACTGAATATCATGAAATTACTACTATTATAAATGAGATTTATCTAATAAATATCTTAGTTTTTTTGAATACTGAGGTTTTTCCCCATCATAATTGGATGCTAATAATACCAGTCTCTCTTTTAATTAATAGTACAACTCAAAGTGTTCGAATTGTGTTAAAGTAATTATCGTTAGATGTTAGTTATACTCGTAATTATTCATTAGAATTGATAAGTTTTGCTAATTGAACGCTATATTCAGATCCTAAGCTAGTCTAATACCCTCAAGTTAGAACTACACAGCTACTTGAACACGAAAGAAAAGGCACAATACATGCGAGAAGCACTGTACTCCAA